ATCTTATGCCTTTTATCCCTTACTGGCATGAATTCACACTAGGAACAACCTCTAGATATCAAACTTTCCTAACCATCATAGTCGTTTCAACTTTTCAATTCCATTTCCACTTATGTAGCGCTATGATAATTAACATGTAGTTTCGCTCTTATAATGCTGCCGTATTTTACCATGAACATGGAGTTCAACGATATTCAAAGAGCGACATGAAAATGCCTGATTCAAGTTATGTTAGATGTAGGATGAGTACAATCCAAATTTACTCCCAATCTTTTCAAAATTAGGTAATCTGTGATAACCAGTGTAAAGCTCAAAATTCTGCCCCAGTCGTTGAGAAACGTTCAGAGGGCATGAAGTACTGGTTATCTGACAAACAGCAAAGTTTTTGAAAATGAATGGTTCTTTGCAGCAATCTTGGAAATTATTAGTTGCTTTGTACTACCAAGAAACATAAATTTATATTGACAAGGAAGCTTTTGCAGCGCAGGAAAATAACAAGCAAAGTAATGCATGAGTGCTTCAACTCATTAGGCTTGATTCCTGAGCATTAGAATTATGAACAATGTTTTTAGAATGCTTAAAAAATTCTAACTTGCACAATTCTTGTAATTTGTAACCATGGTTCTATTTAACTATGCATATAGAAATGTTATTTATAACATTCAAGAATCAAATCTAATCGTAGATAGTCACAATCAGCTCCACTCCTTTGAATCGAAAAGAACAGGTGGTAAGACCACGACCTAAAACCAAATGTTTCCGTTGAGCTTTCAGTATTTCTAGATCTAGAAAGTAGTAGTAGAGTATTTCCGGAAACGCTCACTAGCGTCTACGTTGAGTTGCGTACTGAATATTTCTCTCTTTAACAGCTTCTACCTTATGCCAAAATTGATCTAGCTTGAAGTACTCTTAGAAAGTGCACTGATTTTCTCTTTCTAAGCTCTAAATCAAATCTGTTAATTTCTAGAGGAAGTGCGATTTTCGAAATTATTCTGGAGCTTACGGACCAACCCAACAAGCTGATTCTAATTGTGGAAAAAAGTACGATTAAAGGATACTCGCTAGCAGTTCGTAAATGAGTATTGCGGAGGCAGGCGTTAGACGAATGCCGTGGGACGGACGTGTTTCAAAGCGGCTATGTATTGACATTTCAGCTAATTACTGGCTCATCCAGCTTCTTCCGACTTTCTCTTGTGACATTAGGGGCGAGTTCCTTTGGACCACCCCGCAGCAGAAAGCGTATTATACCTCAGTAAAAAATTTGTTTAGAGTGCATGATGTCATTGAAGTCTGCTATCCCAACTTTATGTGATTGTTCGTATTAAGTTTCAACTTGCGTCAATTTCGAAGTTGCCATTGTATTTTAGCATCACTTAGTGGAGGTAGCAGACTTCTTTTCCTTATCTCTTACAGAGAAATAGGACCAACAAAAAAGACCCTCACCAATGCTCTCTTTAAGGTCACATTTGAAGCACATTTTTTCCACGCAGTCGATGTAACTAGTTCAAATGCTAAGTTCTGCAGAAAATAATTTGAGAAATTGGTGCTCGCTTCCAGAAACTTGCACTCATTTTCAGAAGCATCATGCGTTTGTCAACACATTGACGACCATGCAGATTGTTAGTTGTCTGCCACTTGGGACCAAGGCCATTTAACGGAGCCCACTTTTTCAACTGTATACGCATACTGCCATCTACAGTACGCCTACAGTAGGTCTGAAAGGCTGACAGAAAAGGTAGAAGTCATCCCAAGATTCCCCTGCAAAAGAAAGCTCATGGAGTGAGTTTATTTCAGGATAGTAGTCATTTTACCAAAAATCAAGCCTTGACACACATGGTGTGAAGCGGTCCTACGCGGTAGTCATTGCTTGACACACCATGTGTGTGAAGCTGTCGTCAATGTGTTAATTTGTGAATCTTTACTATATCTAACTCCGATTTATGCTCAAAGTCCATTTCTAGCTCGACAATCAACTCAAAAATGTATAAGATCACACACGATTCTATTAGAGTGTCGGGTGGCGGCCATTCTCCAGGGATTGCACTTCATCATCACTTCTTCGTTTTGCCTCAGCGTTTGCTAACCATCTGGTGGCATCATTCAAATTATCTTACCAGTAAATCCGAAATCAATGAAGGATTCTCTTTTGCTATCGATTTCGCATTGAAAGGGCTCGAAGTTGCACTTTAGAAGATCATCATTTGTCTCTATTTCAGAATAATTATGAAAACTATAAATAAACAACCTTTGGCTAATGCATGCCCATCTAATGCTCTAGCCCACTTCCAAAGCACGTCTTCTCTTGATCTTCCACTCTCTAGAGACCTTAGAATAGGCGAATTGTTACTCTGAAGTGTAAAAGGCTGGCTCAAGCTCAAGCTAAACGTTTCTTTTTACTTCACCAGTGGTAAACTAAGCGGAACTAACATGCATTGTGAAGATTTTTTGCATGACGCATGACTAGTTTGCCTGCTTTGTTAGGCGCATCTCAGTTGCGGTAACCGACACCATTTGAACATCGTCGACATCTTCACAGAGGCGCTCCCCTCATTTCTATACTGAAATTTCTGTTTTTTGACATAGTCTGGGCATAGAGCTCGTAGACTTCGCTATCTTGCAAGGCAATTTGAGTGAAATCATCTCAACAGCGTTGGCACTTGAGCATCTCAAAAAATTTTGCGCCGTTGTTAGGCTGCAGTTTAATAGACAATCTCTCTTAAAATGTCTATAAATGTATTAGACCCTTGTCCACGAGTTTAGAAGCTGTGAATGTGAAAGCTATCTACGTTTAGAACCATTTCCCATGCATCTGCTGTTGTTGCGGGGTATGTCATCATCGACTACGTTTACCCAAAACTTTACCCAAAACCCAACAATGAATTACATGAATTTGCAAGCATCGAAATCACCAGTTCGAGACTGAGTTTGCTTTTATCTGGGTGAGAATCGAATAAGCATTTCATCCCTTCGTTTCATTGATACAAGGTGTCCGAGAAGTAAGAACGCGCTTTTCAATCATTGATAACTCTTTTTCCACAAAGTCTTCTGCTTAGCAGGAAATAATCAGAACTTAACCCAGCCATTTCAGACAAGCTGTATATCATCGGACTCGCCTAAAAACGCTAATTTCAAATAGATGTTTTCCATCTGCCAAGCGACCATTTGGGAGGAGTTATGAGCGTTCGAATATGAGAAATTCTTCAAGCTCCAACGAATGAATTTCCTTGAAAGGCGGCCTGATGGCGCGGAGATTTACAGTGGCTATGGTCATTTCAATTACGAAGAAGAAGCACATTTACCAAAACCCTAAATAAGTGTTTTTGAAATCTATTTCGTGGTACACGCACCACAGAATATTTGACGAATTGAACATTCAAACACTCCAGCTTCTTCCAGATAGTCGTTGGCAAATAATAAACATATATTAGTGATTAACTTTTTAAAAAGAGTCCGATGATATACAGCTGCTTGATATGGTAGTGTTAAGTTCTAGCTATTCCCTGCTTAGCTTTGAGTACCATTTAATAGAGCAGGCTTCAACTTACATAGATGTACAATTGCAAACCAATCAGCCATCGCTCTTCGTCACTTTTAGGATTACGGTCAGAATTTTGAAGAGAGTTTTGACTCATCAATGACTACATTTTGCATCAGAAATGATGCACAACAAGTTGAGACTTTTTGTTAGTCTAGACTGAGTCGCTGAAATGGAATCAGCATGTCTGATAACACTGCTACTCAACTTTTCATTTGGAATTGTTTTACACAGAGGTCTACTTCACAAACGGCGCCGTATGTTGAAAGTTCCTACCGTAATTCTACAGTAATGAAAAGCGTGGATGATGCTTTATACCGTAACTCTAAGTTCGAGCCTGCTCTACTGGATAGCATTTGAGCTACGCAGGATACTTTGTTGAAATAGAGCCTAAATGATTAAAAAGTACTCAAACTAAACTTGTCCCAAAAGTAAGTAAGTACTTGTGTACTTACTTTTGGGACACCCTGTATAATTATAATGCTTTGCATTTTTGCCCGTGATAGGGTTCTGAGGGGTAAAACTAATTACAGTGTGAACCCACGAATTAACAGCCCGTTGCATGTTATCCTGAAGGAGTTATATTTATAGATCCCACAGATGTGTAGAAATGGCTGGCATGCATGGTTGATATATGTGCGGCAAAATTGTCGCTCGAAGTCCCTCTACATATGTCGCAATTACCGGACTTATATTCTAGCTACCCTTATTGAACTTACTCATTATTACTGACAATTCATTACTATTGACACGAGCTGCCTATAACAATCTTTTTCTGAGACGCTGAAAGCCTATCAATGCTGATACCGTAGCTTCTAGACATCTTGCCAAAGGTGTACTCTAGTGCGAGATCTCAGCTTGAATTAAGCAATAGAGAAAGTGGCTGAGGCTTTCAAGACTTGAGCAACTGCCTTCTAATTAAATCAACATCTGCTTGTAAGGAAAATTACATAGTGCACACTATAGCGAAGCTAACAAAGCTCAGCTTCTCAGCCTCCTTTCAGCAGCTCGAAAGCAAAGTCGCGAAGCTGCAGACGAGCTGAGGCAACGCCCATCGTCGTCGCTTTTCGCAAAATGAGCCTCTTGTTCGGTGGAGTTTCAGTACGAGAGGGGAAAAGACTACATCTATTCCAGAAATGTCTCTTGCCTTAATTTTCAACGCCTCCGCCTTTTTTTCATTGAAATTCACCCGCTTCTGACCTGAATTTAGCCTTTTCTAAAATCCCCCTCTCCCACAAAATGTTTCAGGCAATTCTTTGCTGCTATATATGTATATATTCTTTGTTCATGCCTTGATCTCTATGTTTAATTGCCCATTTTTCGCATGATTGCTCTCTCTCGTAGAAAGAAAGTCAATTTCGCATTGTTATTTCGCATTGTTGAAATTCCGTTGTTATAACCTCAAAATTGTTCATACTGCAGAAATCGACAACTTTTAGCACAAATCTGTTATGGTCCGTGTGCGATGATACACAGCCTTCTCATTGCCAGCTTATGGTTCTTTACAATGGTGAGTCGACTATTTGAAATCTTCTTCGCAATTCTTTACAAAGTCGTAAGTCTTATCGCTTAAATTTTTGCAAAGTCATAAATCTATCACTCAATAAGCATTAAAGTTTGCCTTTCAGCTGATGTTTTCATGAGCTTTAAAATTGACTCAAAGCAAAAAAAACTAAGAAGCTGTTTATACGGCCTTCTTAACTGCATTCCTACATTACATTTCTCATTTTCATATACGAGAAAGAATTTTTGACTAGTACTCGTTCTGCCGTCTTACATAGCTTGCTTGTTTATTTCCTCTAAATTCTTGACTTAGCTTATTGATCTCAATTTGGTTCGTTCTACTCAACTGCACTAATAAGAAGAAATGTAATTCTTAATTCTGCACCATGTTTGATTACATCTATTTTAAGTGCCTCAACATTTATTGATAGCAAATTATAATTCGAGTATCTCCAGCTTCTCAGCTTTGCTGTATTTAAATACCCTTCTGCTCCCCAAAAAAAAATCACTCAACTAATTTAGGTGTCCAGCAAACGAGTAAAATGTCCACCGGGTACGCTTAGCGAAGGTCAAACGTTAGCGGCACTATTTTCGAATTATACGAAAATGCTACCGGAAGGAGACACCGCCGTGGAAGTGCAAGTTGAAATGCATATTCAGGCTAGTTCTTTTCCCACATCAGCAATTCTGTTCAACTCTCCATTAAACTAACTTTACATATGCTATAATCTTTTTGTCACTTATGCGCGCGCGAACATCTTCTATATTCCAGAACATAAAAGTGATCGAATTCGGAAAGAGAAAGTTGTTAGACCTTTATTTTCTCAAGCATTTTTTGAACATTTCTCATTGCTCGTCGAAGCAAAAACTTCAGCAATAATACTGCAAATAGAGTTTTCAAAAAAGATATTCATCATTTTGCTGCAGAAGCTATTATTCATTTTTGAAAGTCTCCATAGTTTCATGGAACTAAATATACCGAACTTCATTTAATGCTAGCTTTTGATAACAAAAATCTTCTCTGCAATTTTTCAAAAGTTTAAGTTCACTACGAAAGCGTAGCTTACAAAGCTTTCTATCAAACTTCTTCAAAAGTCAACTCCAAGTTCTTAAGAATCCAGTAAACATTTAACTCCTGACATTCGGCAGACAACCCAATTCTATCTGGTAGGATTCAAAATTTGCTTATGTAACTTCACGGCATTTTTTGTAAGATCCTAGGCAGCATGAAACCACATTAAGCTTGACCTAAAACAAAGAAACTGATTCCATATAGGTGAACATGACGCTAATGTTGGCCTTCTCTGACTAAGACCCCAGTTTTTGCGATTTTTCCGACATGTCCCAATTCTGCTACTATTGACAGATTTTGCACAAGTCGCGGAAAGATGCTGTCGTTTCTCGCTTCAAAATGAAGATTTGAATCTTGCTTGTGGTAAAGCCTGATGAACCAATCTCTCAACTTATTTTTAGGACATGGGCTCGTTAAACGAAATCACGTCCGACTTTGAAATCGACATTCTTTTCACGCAATTATGGCGGGATGAATCATTATCGTTCTCTCACATGTTAGCGTGCAAGAGGTATATTGGCATCTTGTTTCTGAGGTTGTTTGAATTTTGCACTGTTGCTTAAATTGCTATGAAGGCCTCAGTTTACAAGCTTTCGTTCTTGTGTGTTGTTGACTGTAAATACCATTGAAAAGCATAAAAAAAGGAATTTTAGAAATATCACATTGGAGCCGCGCCTACTCCAAAAGATATGGACTCCCAATACGTGCCTGATCAACTCTAAACGGACTATGATCCATGCCTCACCTAGTGAGAATGTGATGATCATCTTGTATGAGGTAAGTAAGATACTTTGCTTTGGTAGGAACAACTTTTGAGTTTGCTCTCTTCACCGAACATTCTAGTTAAATTTAGAGGTCATAATGCTCATTATCTAGCCCATTTTACGGTCAAATCTCCCAACTTCATACAGCTACAAGCCTTGAGAAGTTTCTGACAAGATCCGCATAGGCTGTGCCTTTCTCCCAGTCGCAATTAGTTTAATCAAAGCGACGAGTTCTTACGTAGGTGCGGAATAATGCACGAGACACTATCTGATATTTTCCCTTGTGAAGAAGTGAAAACTTCATATTCGATGGAAAGAACTAGAAATGTGAAACCTGTATATGAAGTTTTGCCTTTGAATACTTGAAAACCTTCTTCTTGTATTGAGTTTTTGGCCTTTGCTTTGTGACTATTGGCTTCCTTTTGAAACCTGGCTTTCAATGAAATGAATTCTATCAAATTAAAAGCAAGTACTGTTGTTTGCGAAACCTAGGGCATGATATTTAGACAAATTTTAGCACAGCACCCAACTATATAGACCCTACAATTCCCTGTTATGTGACCATACTGAAAGTAATGCTGCTAAAGCATTCCAAAAGAAACCCTGAACAATTATCTTTTACCCTTTTTTGACCGTCTCGTTATAATCAATACCTGTAATGAGATTACTGCGTACTTCTATTGGAGTAGAAGTTGCAGAACATTGGCTGCTGAGACATTCTAGCCAGATGAAGTAATATGTATCGGTGGACTTCGAAGGGATGATGTATGTTAAAAAATTCCGAATCTAATCAAGTTTTTCCTGTTTTTTTTTCATAATTCTTGAAATACAACACCGTCGAGACTATTTCAATTCCATAGCTTTACTTCCGTTCGATCGTCAGTACCACCGCCCAAGTCCATTAGCAAAATGTTTTTAGAAAGAGAAGAGGGACCTGAGACGGGATTAAATAGCAGCAACGAGGTGGCAAAGAAGTAGATTAATGAGTGATTAAGACTGGGAAGTTTGTGTTTCACGAGCTATGGAAATATGTAGACTTTGCCTTATCCAATGAGAATACTTCTGCATTACCCACCCATCTTCCTGATCGAGTGCGAAAAGAATTTCGTCCCCGAGAGCAGTAATAACCGATATGTAATTCAATCGCTGCCTAATACGGATTCGGGCGATCCCAATGGCTCCATACTCCGAATTGGTCGCACTTGTTAGGAACATATATAGCAGGCAACGATCAAAGATTACTGAGTATCTTTTTCACAAAAATATATTTGTGTCAAATCACTTACACAACATATAGAAAGAAGGGGTATGTCAAAAGGTACAATTTTTTTGTCGCCAGATGGACACCAAATAGCGCATTTTTGTTGTTCAATAAAGTTCCAGGACACTTCAAATTGGGGGAAATGGATTGCTGCATAGTTTCGTGAAATGCCACTATTAACAATTTTTTCAAATTTTTCATTCAATTTTTTACCAAAAGCCGTCAAACTTAACAAGTGGTATCTTCAGATAGCCAGCAAGCTAGAAAATTTGTCTGGTATTCTTGAATGAATTGCATGACTAGACAAAATCTAGTTGTTGAGATGGTGACCTTTGGAGAAAGCGCGCCTCTTGATCGTCTCTCAAAAAGAAGTACTCCCCCCCCCCTCCTGGTAGGATGTCAGACCTGATGAACTGAGGGGAGTTCAATGGATTTAGCTAATTCCGCTCATTTAATAAGAGAAGGAAAGTTAGTCGAAGTGGCTTTGTGTATGAGATGTATACTAACTTGAAGAATGTGGAACGCTGATTTCAAAACTCATTTCTTATCTGCTGGGCTGGGGGCTTCTAATCAAGGAGTTTTGAAGGTTTCTAAGCGTAAAAAATTCAATGTATGATCAGTGTAAAATCAGTGTTGACTTTTTCTAGTGTTCCAAAGTGGCAGAGCTAAGCGGATTTGTGTAAACTAAAAAAAATTTTTTCCAAAGAGTAACTCAAAAATTATAAGTAGAGAAACTTTTACGACTGATTTTGCCCTAGCTGCACATGCAGATTTTTGCTCATAAAAACCTTCGTAACTCAACTAGATTTGAAACTAGCGTTTCATACCCTTTTAAGGCAGTATCCATCTCATATTGAGAGGCCACTTCGACTAACCTCCCTTCCCTAGTAAGAAGCTTCTAAGCAAGTATCAGAACTGCTTAGTAGCATCCATGCGCAATTATCACGCACGTTAAGATATTTGAAAGAAAGTTACAATTTCGGATTTTCTCATATCATTTTTTTAGAATGGAACCTTATGGATCAACCACCGATTGTCGGTGAAGTCTCCGTGCAATCTCGACCTTCGGCAATTTCCCTTCGACGTTCAAAGCTGCATCCTCATCCTCGAGTCTTACAGTCATAACGCAGAAGAAGTAAGCTGTCCTTGAATATAACTAACCATGAAAAAATCGCACAAATGGATTCTTCCTTTCAATGCACGTTTCATCCTAACTCCATTGCATCGGGTGCGTTTTCATCTGAAATTGCGGGAGATGCAATCATAGAAGACTTACACTTTTTGACACTCACGTGTCAACTGCTACGCTTTTATTTCTAATGGATAATCTCACGGGAAAATTCGAGACCACCAAAATTATTTTAGAAGCCTTGCAGAAAAGGGAGACGTCATGGTGATGTCAAGATTTGAGCCAAAGAAGCGGTCGGAATGTGTCTGTTTTCATATGAACTTTCTTTGCAGAAGAATAATGCGCAGTGAACGAAATCTAAAGAATGTTCTAAAAGTTTAATTTAGGTGCAGCTACGATGGATGGATGAGGCAGTGACGTTGATGAAACCCATTCAGCTGCCAGACTTCGATCTGGTTAATTTCGAAACAAAGAAAGAAAATCTCATCTATCCAAATGGGTATTGGGATCAGTTACAGGTGATGATTACTATGGTTTAAAAGGTTTATAGGGAAATCTAAACATGTTGTTAGAATAATACATTTAATTTGTATAGATCTAAACCTGTGCGAACAAAAGAGAGGGTTGCCATTGGCAGTAAAATGTAAAATGAATGCCAAGCATCTCGCGGGAAGTTTGAAAGACTCTGCTGAAACTATTCTAAAAACAGCGCCTTTTTGAATGAGGCGGTAGCTAAATTTACAAGTGATAATGATTCTGTAATAAGGGTTTGGGGCAGAATCTCTCGATAGTCATTACAGTATCTCAAAACTAAATCAACTTTCCAACAACCCATCAACCTGAGCGCTTGATATTTTAAAAAGTGCGAATTTGGCTTTCTAACTAATGTTGCTGTTTCCCGATATATGTGGTTGTGACCAGATAAAAGATGCACATTATTATGTCAGAGTAAAGCCCTTGCGATTAATACCACTCAAATTAGCACATGGCTCAATCGCTGTATATATCACACAATTCTATCGTGTTCTAGAAATTATTATAACTTTGCCAATCGGTCGCATAAGCATAAGATTCTTATCTTAGAAAATCCTCCAAATGCTGGCAAAAAAAGCTGCTTTTCCCTGTCGCTGCAGCATTTGTTTTGCTGTAGAAGTACTGTAAAAGTAAAAAAATCCCTTCAAGACTATTTTAAAGATTAGTTACCTTGTTTTCAAAAGTAGACGCAATATTTTCTTTGTTGAATGCAAGGAGCTCGGATGCACAATTCAAATGATTTATCATAGTCCTGCGGGTCGGAAGTTCCAAAAACATGGTGCGGAAGTTCCCAGATAAGGTGAATGTCACAGCAGTAAAAAAGAACACCTAAGCGAGATTCAAACGCTCTATTGACTGTGAGACTCACTGTACTCTGCACTAGGAATGACAATGAACCCTAACTGTTGGTGAGACAACATTTAAGAGACAACACATTCAAAAACCTGCGGAAATACTGACAGGTCAAAGTGCTGCGGAACCGCTGGCATTTTTCGGATTTTCGTAACATTTCGTTACAAGTCCTGCGGAATTTCCCGTTTACTAGTCTGACGTGAAAATTCTGCAGAAGTACCATTTCCGAAGTTTGCACTTTTGTAATGGAAAACGGAATCCTGCGGATTCGCTGCAAATTTTGCTTGTCCTGCGAAATTTGGGGTAATTGCCTCAGATTGTGCTCTTGGGACGTTCGCTTCCCGCACAGTTCTCTCAGAGCGCAGCACGGTGGAGGTTCTATAGCTGTCGAAATCCATCGGCATGTTTAAATTGGTCAAGCTTACAAAAAAAGAAAACTCGTCTCACGCTTGCAAAATCAATGTTATAGTAGTGGAAGAATTTTTAAGAGCTGTCAGAACCGCATCCAACGATATATCGTCTAGGCGATATGTGCCAGATATGGCGTGTTCACATAGAATGCGTGCTTTTTTAATGATATGACATTTTGTTTTTGTTTAGGTGGTATTTACTTTCAAGCGGCGTTATGGGTTCTACATCATACAAGCTTATGTGCCAACCTATCTGACAATCATTGTCTCATGGGTATCCTTTTGTATGGAACCAAAAGCGCTACCAGCTCGGACGACAGTCGGCATCTCTTCACTGCTAGCACTCACTTTTCAGGTGGATCATCAAATTATAGGCTGCTCATGCACTGCTAAATCAAAATATATTTCAGTTTGGTAACATCCTCAAGAATCTGCCTCGGGTATCATACGTCAAAGGTTCATTACCTTAGCTTTTCTTTAGCCGATACGTTTGAATTTGACTTTCCAGCGATGGATGTTTGGATGTTGGGTTGCATATCGTTCGTGTTTGGCACCATGGTCGAATTGGCTTTTGTATGCTACATCAGCCGATGTCAAAACAGCGTGAGAAGGTAGAATCTTTCAGCATACATTGTCAGGTTTTCAGGAGAAAAATAGCGCTCTTTACTTTCCTGCGTCGGCATCGCAGTGCAAAACCAAGGCGTGAGAGATAAAGAGCCGACATACATCATGCGATTTCATCGCCTCGCGATTCTCCCCACAAGACAACTGTTACGAGTCCATTGCATGTCGATCATCTTGCATTACGGTTATGATAGTCAGTCTCGATTCGTGTGGGAAAACTATCACAACCGAAATGCAAGATCATCAGCATGCAATGAACTGGTAACAATTGCCTTAACAGTTGCCTTGCTTTATTGGGAGAATCGCGGACAATGAAATTGCGTGATGTGTGCCCGGCTCTCAAGATAGAGTAAAGCAAATTGCACAAAGTGATATCCATGCTTTTGCGCCAAATTTGATCCATATGATTCCAAAAGAGCCACAAGGGTTTGAATGCCATACTCAAGAAAATCGAATCTTATTCTAAAAAAAACTTTCTAAGAATCACCCACTTCTACCCAACTTGCTATCGGCAATATATAATCGCTTTATTTCTCCTTGACAAAAACTGAAAAAAAAACTAATATTTTCATTGTTTTAGAAACTAGGTCGTTAAGTAAATCTATACTGCAACTCTTTGTAACTATGACTGAAAACTTTTAGCCACAACAGCTAATTTTCGAGATATAAGCTTCCCTCTTCTGGGACGTGTATACTTACAAAGGCCCTGGGAAGCTTTTGGATGGAGTTTCAATTTTTTTCGATTTTTTCTTTAGAACTTCTCAGATAATTTCAAACTTTATGTGGATTAACTTTAGCCTAATGGTTGAAAGGCAGTTTGTAGAGCTTGCTTTGCTCTATAACAATACCTTCTCATGCATTTTTGGCCGCTGGATGAAGTGCCATATTGAGCAGAAAATCGCCAGTCTTTTTCTAACGCTAAAATCCATTTTATAAGCGTGTTTTCTTGCAGCATCTGCAGTAATTGTGAGGCAAACTGGAATCACGCATAATATTACATTTCATTTGCAGGTTGCAGACTTTTCCATATTCACATTGTTTTCATTTAGCTTTTCTTGCTCAATTATCCAGCCTCAAAAATGAGTAGTGAAAGTTATCTGGGTTATTCATGTCAAGCCGTACCAATCCAATAATATTAGGTTGTTGCAAAAGTTCTGTCGTTTCATTTTCAAAAATTTGTAACTCCGCGAAATTTCAACGGATTTGCTTGCATATAATTTTTTAGAAAGAATAAGTCTTTCGCTTTCAAATGCTGTTCCGTGGAGCTTCTGTTTCATACTGGGTGAGGAGATAAAAATGGGAAACTAAGACCATATAAGCTTTGACCATTTTAAGTTAGGTCACCAAAAATCTGGAATGCTGCAGAAAAATCTGAAATCCTCAGTACATATGTTTTTTGGCCTACCCTTTGCATCTGTGAAAAGTTTGCGCTGTTTGGACGTCTCTGTGAGAAGTTATGATTTTCGCGAAAATTGACAAATTAATTATTTTTGGCGTTTTCCATAGTAAACTCGATATTCATAACTTCTCACAGAGACGTCCAAACAGCACAAACTTTTCTCAGATGCAAAGGATAAGCCAAAAAACATATGTACTGACGATTTCAGATTTTTCTGCAGCATTCCAGATTTATGGTGAGCTAATTTAAAATGGTCAAAGCTTGTATGGTCTTACTTTTCCATTTTTATCTCCGCACCCAGTATGAAACAGAAGCTCCACATGAAAGCATTTGAAAGACTAATTCTTTCTAATAGAATTACAAACAAGCAAATCCGTTAAAATCTCGCGGAGTTACAAATTTTGAAAATGAAACGACAGAACTTTCGGGCCAACCTAATACAGTTAGTGAAGAAGTGCAGCCGCTTCGATTTGCCGTACTTTGACAAAGCAATCCACTGGTTGGATGAAACTCCAGATAAGGAAGGAGTGTTTGTTAGTTATGGTTAATATTTATCGTATAGCTAGGCACCTGCTGCCTGGATGGCTTGGAGCAAATTTATGGTGGATTACTGAAGACACAAACGAGTTCGTAGCGTTATGCTGCACAAATCATGGACTAATCTGAACTTCTTTCATTTTCAAGATGGATTGAGTAGTAAAAATCATTCAACTTGGCTTTAAAATCTGCTTCAAAGATTCTTGGATGGGCCACAGAAGTGATCCGGAAAGGTTTTGAATGATTAAAGCCCATAAACCTATAGAAGTCTTTCTCACAAAATGTGCAAATTAGATTTAAGTGAATCATAACAAAAGTTAAGAAAAATAGAACCTTCAAACTCAAGCAGTTTTCCACTGCAGAATGATACTTTTGACTAGAATAGCTACAGCAGTCATAAACTAAGGGCTCTGTGAGGAGCCTGGAGCTAGCAGTAGACGCGGTCTGATTTCCCTGAATGTATCTGCAAGAACCAAAATAGCCTAACGCAGGCACAAACACTAAGCTACTTTTTCGAGGGTCTAAATGTCACTGACGTTGGCCTGATTCTGAACTGTTTATCTTTGTCGAAGGAGTGGAAGTTGAATGTTGTGGACCTTATAAAAGCTCTATTTCAGCTCTGAGCGACGAAGAGAACGAGCACGGACGTCGCAGATCTGGGCAAATGGTTCATGTCGGAACAGAGGCCCACATACGCACAGTAACGGAAATGGTAATCGTCTTGATTATCTGCATGATTTGAGAGGTGACTCTTCTTGCAGTAGCAAAAGAAATTACAAATCAGATCTATACGATACAACTTGAATCAATTAGACTACTCAAACTATTGGATTGTAAAGAAAGTTCCCGAACTTTTGCAGAAGTTCATTGTTCACCGACATGCGTAGAGTGAGAAAAACTCATTGCTGCAGTTATACTTGGATTCACTAGGACTATGAGAACATTTCATTATTATGGGTGACACCTGCAAAAATTTTCTGAAAAAAAGCTCAAAAGATTTTTTAACCGAATATCACTGCAGACATTGTAGATCAATTGCACATCCTTTTGGACCCACCATGCGCGCGGTTTCTGCTAAATGCCTTCCTTTTTTGGTATAAGAATTCAGCAGAGATCAATAGTTGTAGAAATAAAGAATTCAGAAAGTATGAGTTTCTTCTACAGGACTTTGCAAAAGAAATTTCTATTCAAGCGAGTGCGAGAAAAATGCACCCGAAAAGGAATCTTCCATAAGTGCCCGGAAACTTCCTTTACAACCCTAAAACCAGATTTTCTAGTACTTGACTATGATTGCCTTGTCATTCATAAGCTAAGTAGCTTTGTTTAGGACCGCTACATCCACATTCAGCGAATGGGTGCACCGTTGCTAGGGGCACGTTAACTCCGCGTGGGACTTCATCAAATCTTCACTTACACATGACTACTTTCGATTCCGAAACACCTCTCACCTTCGACCAGGTAATTCTTTCCTCGTACCCATCACACATAACTATCCGGCGCAAAGTTGCAGTTACCCATTGAGCCACAGAGGCCACTCATGGAAGAGGTAATATGTTCAAACGAATGTTTTCATTTCCGCACTACTTTGGCATGCTTTTCGTGAACTTTCTGTGTAAGCATGCCTCTACAAGGAAGATGCCCGGACAATTATTCTGACTCGCAACTTGTTCGAAATGTAGACAGCCACTTGATACTGCGCAAGACACGGTCATCCTGAATTTAATGGATCTCGGTCATAGCATTCCTTCCTGGCGATCGGAACATAAGGGTGCCTAAAATTCTGTTACGATGGAAGAACTTAAGACCCAAACATCGAACTTAATTTTGCCCTTACTCTTCATATGAAGTCGAGCAAGCAGAGCATTCATGAAAAGATTTCGGAGTACGCTCTCAGTGAAGTCGTGTCAGATTTTTGACTCTCTATCCTAAGTGTTGCATCATATCTCGCTACGACGAGCTCTACTGGAGTTAGCAGCATAGGAAATGGTAGAGACTGGCTTTCTTCGGAAGAACGTATACGAATGAACACCGAACGCAGAGTTGCAGAGAAACAGCTTTGCGTATTTCTTTGCTTCTCCTGCGCGAAGACTGTGCGCATTGGGGCTATTTTTGGAATGTTTGGCGCAAGTCGATTTGTTTGACGAAGGCCCTACTATATATATCGGCAAGCTCGTGCTGAAACTCACGTTTTCTATACCAGTTTGTCAAATCATTATATAGCGCGATGCACCGCTTGCAGCGCTTGCAGTAGACTTGGAGGCAGCGTCCATGCAAATTCTATGCTCCCCGCTTAGTACCTAGTTTACAAATAGGCACTGAGAGTGGGCATCAACGCTGGTCCGGTCCTCTAGCGTGGACCCTAAAAGGAGGGGGCGAAGTAAGTTCCACTCATTGAAGGATTGAAAAATCGTTCTCGCCTTTAAGACAAGGATTGCAGAAGACGATTTTTTTTGTTAGGGGCTTCGGGCAACTAGTGGGACTAGTAACGGGTGGAAAATATGCTACGTGCAGGATCACGACTAGCGCTAAAAGCCCAGTTCTGTGAATCATGTTTTCAAGAATTTCCAGGCATGTATGCAGAACTTCTTCGACTATCTTGAGCCTAGTTTGCAGTGTCTATATGTGTTGTTGATTCGCATGTTCTATCACAGCATTTTCAGTTCCGATCGCCATCGCCGGCAGCGAATGTTGGTTGCATAGCGCGATTTCACCCGGAAGCAGTCGATAAATTCTCCATTGTTGCTTTCCCTTTGGCTTTCACTATGTTCAATGTAAGTCTCCTAAAACTTACACGCCTACTCAAAATCAATGTATTTTTCAGTTGGTATACTGGTGGTACTATCTTTCGCAGCCTATCGACGACAAAGTCTCACAAGTAATGCAGTCTTCACACTGAAGTTTCTGGGAGAAATGTAGTCGTTTACTATGAACCTATAGATCGCAACTTGTGTCAGAATTAGCACTTGAGTGGACGTCATACGATTGTCTGCATTGAATCAAATAATGACATTCTCTCAGTATAAGGCAAAAATGAAGCGTGAACCTGCTGTTTTTACGTGCGAGTTGTGCGTGCTGTACCACCTCCAATTCTTGCCGTCGTTTGCATCGAAAATGATATACAAAGTTGTTTTGGTCCTCAAATCATTTCAGTATAGGCGAGCTTCATCTTCAAAATTTTTTTCGCTCTGATGGTTTTGAATAGTAGTTGCTCATGACAGGTTGAGAATTGAAGCGTTGAAGCTTGTAAAAATCTTGTAAATTATTCCTCGAATGTCTTTGCTCCGCCCTCTGTTTGTGCGATTGTTCTAAGCGTGTCTGTTTTTCCATGTCCGAGTGTATTATGCTAATTAATGCTATTCTAAATTGTTGTTGCTCACTAGAAAAGATGTAATTGAAGTTTAATATGCATCGCAATGATCTCAGTAACAGGTACTTATTTGTAGATAAAAGTAGAAAATTGTTTGTCTTATTGATTTTAACGATCGATTCAATTTTACTATTCATCGCAGTCAGTTGATTATTAATAAGAATTTTACTACTATTGTGTTAGCAACAGACTCAAAATTATACTGCAGATGGCAAACCTTCATTAGGGAAAATTATGTTGCTTGAAGGTCATAGAAAAAGCTCACTGATACAGTAGTAAACTGGGAACCAAGGGATTGTTCGGTAAATTTTCGTTGAATGAAAGCATTCGCTTCAGTAGTATAAGCATGGAATGACTTAGACTATCATTAACTTATCAAGTAAGAAATTGTCAGACTTAGCGTTAGCGTTGCAAAATGTCTCATTTTTCTGCCGGACCTCCGCAGCAAATTTTACGATACTTGCAAGTGACTATTACTCGTATTTGGGTCAAGCTCCTGAAGAGGTTACCGCTAGCATTGCATTTATTGTCCTTCGGGCTGATGTTGAGCTGGTAAAGCAAGACATTGAGCATGGGCGAGATGATATTCTTCTCAAAGAATGAGGATAGCTTGCAGCGGGCCTACCGTAATGCGCATGGGCTCCAGCAATAACCGCTTAGGACAGAGGAGGTGTGCGGCCACGCTGACGTCACTTGTTCTTTTAGGTCGACCTAATTTGTCTTTTCCTTTTACGTAAGCACTGAGAAGCTCGCTGTTGGCAGAGCCGGCAGAGGTTAATGCTTTTTACAATGGGGATGAAGGTCGAGGGTTCGGTTCCGCAACGGTAATCTCTTTAGTGAAGCTTTGAAGACCATGAGTTCAGCGTCAGGATGCTCACTCAATGGAATCACGCAACAAGCAGGCTGGAAAAACCCCGTGGTTTAAACGTTCTTTAATGTTTCGACAAAATCTTCGAATATAAGCCAGGGTGTCTCCGGAGCATAGAGGCGATAGGTGGAGAAATTTCTCTGACCCCTTCACTTTAGGGCCGGCATCTGGCTGACCCCTTTCACCTGAGGTTGACACTAGAATCAAGGCATAACGGCAAAATCAAATAGCTATTACAATGACACTTTTTGTTTAGGAAGGAAACGCCAGCTGCTCTTCTTCTCAGACATCAAGACTGCAAGAGATTATCGAATCAACAGCGTTTTGTTGAAAATACGCATGTTCGAGACCTTCTGCGCACTCAAAGCGGCGTTGCTAAAGAAAGATAATTAAAAATAAAAAGGATGTCTGATTCCTTGAATAATTAACATTGTATCAATGAATAAACAATGTCTCAAGAAAGAGTTAAGCAAGAGTAGAAATTTTGGACTAGTTAGTGATGGATGCTACCATATCTCCGTTCACTAGAGAGATTAATAACAAATAAAAGAACAGTTAGATTACTCGTTTCTCAAGCTTTCCAATCATATGTAAAAGTTCGAAAAGGACCTTCTTGGTTCGAAAAGATAATTACCCAGAATTGGCTGTAGCTAGATAAAACTGCTCGTATCTCGCTTCACAGAAACGAAAGGAAAAAAGAGACGGTCTATGTCGATTTCACGTGTTCTTAGCTATCGAATGGTATATGAAGCACAAAGTCGGTGCACAAACCTTTCTCAGTCCAAAAAAGAATTGGTCCGGCGACCCATAGAAAGCCGGAGCGGGGTGGAGCAAGTTAGTATTGGATATCTCCACCTCATTTTTGAAAAGCCACAAGTTTTTTCACCAACAAACTATATACCATTAGAAAGCCCGCGAAAAAGGATTCGACGTAGACCTTCTTTTTCTCTAGCTCCCCTCTACTTAAAGATACATGTCATTTTAGCTAAAAACATGTGTGTTTTTCCGAAAAAATTCCTGCGCGAAGAATGAATGAAGGTGCCTGATTGTTTAACAATATCATAGAGAAAGACCATGCCAGTAAACGACCGTCTCTTTTTTTCTATCTTTGTCCTTCCTCTCAAAATGAAGGACGAAATAATTACACAAGATTAGCCGGTAAGTAGGCGCATAAAATTGCTCGTATCTCGCTTCACAGAGAAGCTATGAAAAAAAGACGGTCTACGTCGATTCTCCATGATCTCAGCTTCCGAATGGTATGGAGCATGTTAGGGCTTTTTTGCTTCCTGGCTCTAAAAAGAACTTGCTCCCGTGACCGATAAAAGCCAATACATTGGGAGAGCTGGGTGGAGCTTTTCAAAACTGATAAGTTTTCTCGCCCAGCAATCTATATAGAAAGCTCAGGAAAAGGGAATTTGACTTAGGATCATTGACTTCTTTCTAGCCCTCTCTACCGAGAGATACACTCCTTTTTATCTGAAATCATGTCCTCAACAGCAGGTTTCCTGCGAAACGAAGACTTAATCGCTGCTGATTATCCACATTACAAAGCAAGTCTTCATTAACAAACGTAGACCGTACTTTCTCGTAGCATTCATATGTAGAGCAGAAAGTGAGGACAAAAAACCAGTTAATATATGCAGCACATAAAATCCCTCTTCAGCAGGACAGAAGATCTAGAAAAAAATAGACGGCCTACGTCGATTCTACATGACCTCAGCTTTCGATGGTATGTAACTTGTTGGGGCATTTTGCTTTCAGGGCTCACTTACCCCCTTCAGTTTACAAGGATGGGAGTAGCAGAGAACCCCTTCACCTGGAGAGGGCCCGGCTCCCCCTATTGCACCTATGCTCCGGAGTCAACGCACACACAAGCCCAATGATGCGAAGGATAGGTTAGACTTCGTCTCAATGGTGAGCGGGGAGGGAAGAAGCTAGTGCACCACTAGCACGGTCAAGTTCTCGGAAAAGCTATTAGGTACACTTGACGTTGGATCTCTCACAACTCGACATCGGCAAGTAGCTGATCCGGTCAGAAAATGCAAAATAACATCGCCTACTTACAGGAAACCATTTCCTGGTTACAGGAAACCATTTGGAAGGGGAAAAAGGCAAGAGACGTCGGCGGAAACTTCTTCTCTGTGCAAGGGGATAAGCAGCAGGAATGGTATCGAGATTGGTCTGCGAAGCGCTGGAGATATGATAATTGGCGTAGGTCGCATGAACGACCGTCTGATGAGCTTAAGAGTATGGCAAGGAAGAAGGTCTGCTTAGTTAGGGCATATGATCCACAAACAAGTTGCGGAAGAGCTTAGAAAGAAGTGTTTTGGCAGAAGGTCGGCGACTAGATTAGCTCGTTATAACGAAAAAAAAGCTATTGAGTGATGCAGACCTTAAAAGCAGCGTTCAGGCAGAAATCGACTTCTCTTTTTTGCCTTATCCAAACCTCTTCATGCCGCTGATTGCAAATATGGCAGTCGGAATGCGTGAATTCCTCAAAAAACCCCATTTTTTGAGACAATTATGTGAGAAGCCTGGACGAGTGCTTCTCTTGCAATCCTTGTCGAAAGCAAGCATTAACAGGTAGACACTATGTGTTCCATCCTGTTTGCTACATGAAAACACGTCAAGGGCTGAGGAGAGTTCGTCCAAGGAGGCGGGCCGTTCGAGAGCATTGGCGAACAGCCCGCCCCCTTGAACGAACTCTCCTCAGGCCTTGACGTGTTTTTACGTGGCAAACAGGATGGAACATAGTATTTACCTGTTAATGCTTGATTTAGACAAAGATAGCATTGGGAGCACTCGTCCAGGCTTCTCATAAAATTGTCTAAAAAATGGGGTTTTTTGAGGAGCTCACGCATTTCGACTGCCATTTTTGCAATCAGCGCCATGAAGAGGTTTGGATAAGGCGAAAAAGAGAAGTCGAGACACTGCCTGGACGCTGCCTTTTGAGGCATGTATGAAAGCAACAAAGCGGCTTTTAGAAGTATCATGAAACCACAGATACGGCACTCGTAAATCGAGGGAGCACGTATTCTGAAGTTTGTAACGCTCATGACTTGGCAATGGCGAACACATACTTCATCAAAAAGATCTTCTCAGGGACTGGCCCGCGCGAGCGGCCAGCGACGATCTTACAAACGCTCGTTGGTGTATGCGATGGTACGGTTGTCAAGGACCGGTGGTACGGTTAACGTGAGGCGCCCGCAGCTTCTAATGCTCGCCGCTTGCGCCGGGAAGGCCGCCCGCTTGGTGTTGAGGTAATTTTGTTTGAGATACCTTCCTTCAATATGTTGATCCTGTTCACATTCGGGGATCGAAAGCGGGTCGATGCCTGCAGCATTGGCCAAACCTTTCATGGGGAAGCTCTTCCATCACTGTTGATGACTGCCTCACATATTATTCCACCCTTACCGGTGAAGGAAAATGCTGATAATACATGCCAACGCCTTAAGCCAGCTTAAACGTCGTGTCTCACGCAGGTACCGTTTACGCTCACAATGCCTGAAAATCGTAAGGAAAGATGGAGGTCATTGTTGGCCGCTTGCACTGCAACGGGTATTGCCGGCCGATAAGACGCACACACTGCTGACCACTAGCTCGCGCAAATGTATTGCCGGCCGCTTGGACGGTAACATTGCCTGCTGCTTCAACTGTGCCA